GCGCGAATCAACCTGTTCGCTAGGTGCATTCTGGCCCGACTTAATTACGAAATGGACAGACAGAACCATGGAATACCGATTGCACGATGCATTTGGGATATCTTCACAGCCATCTGGATCCTGCATTTCGCAAACCCCGCGCGACTGGACCGAGACCACGTATACCAACTCATCGGAGAGCTTGGCGTCCAGGCGGACGTCCTCCGGCAACTTTCCTTCCGCAGGCCGACCCCGCCTACGCTGCGCGCGCGCACGTGCCAGATGGAGGTGCCTCAATGTTGCGGGTCAGAGCTGGAAGGAGGCACTTCCCTCACCTTCGAGCGCGATGCCGACCGCATCCTTCAGGCACTGCAGAAACGAACCGCGCAGGGATATCGGGGCGACCGGCTAAGGGCTGACCCAGGCAGACGCCCTAGGGCGCCCGAAAGAAGCCGATCGACCCGATCCAGGGCCCAGCCCGCCCCTTCGATCAGCGCGCTTGCCCGATCCGGGCCGACCCGACTGCTCCCACCGCCGCGCCTGCGTCGGCCCCGACTGCGCCACCTGCAGGAAACGGCCGAATTTCCCCTCCATCGTCAGACGCCTGCCCAGGGAGGCCACCTCCCTCACTGGAAGCAAATCCCATCGCTGCTGCCGGCGCCCCTGGCGACGCCGCGCGCGCGAACTCAGCCGCAGGCGCCGACCCGCCTAGAGACCGCAGGCGCCGCCGCGGAGGCCCCCCGCGCCCACCTCCTGACTCAGCCCCTGCCCGCTCTGCAGGAGACCCACTCGCTCGAGGAGGCGCGCCCCCCGCGGGCACGTCTCTCCCGGCCTGCGCGGAAGAGGAATGCGACGCCGCCCTCGGAAGAACGGCAGCCACCCGTGCAAACGCGGCCGCGACCCCGGAGGCAGCGCTGGCCGCGCAGCTGCGTGGCCCGGCGAACATCAGTGGGCGGCAGTAGCTACTGAGCGACGCAGCGTGGTGCACCAGCCTTCCTCAGCTCAACAATCGTTTCCAGCGCGCGTTTGCCAGCCGCCGCGCCCCAGTCCAGTTGCCGATCCTGTTTGAAAGGTTCTGGAACCGTCGACCCCCTCCTGGCGCCAGGAGCCCCGATGCTAGACCCAGTGGCTACCAGACACGCCGCCAACTTACTCGACGCGGCGCGCGCGGACCTCCGTGCGATTTCTTCGAAGACAGGGGAGTCAGATCGAGCGCCCTTCGCCCCTTTTTCATTACTGTCTTGCAACCTCCTAAACCAGATGACGGCAGCGGGCGCAGGAGACGACCCTTCGGCGCCGCCGCGACAGGAGCTAACCCCCCAGCTCGCACCAGCCAGTAGGCTCATGCGGTCCACTCTGGAAGACAGCACTTCCACAACCGTGCCCGATGCCCCCTCTACCAGCCAGCCAGTAAACACCTGTCCCTCCAGGCGGGCGCAACCCGCAAGACAGCAACCACACCGTCGCTAACCCCCCCTCCGACACTTCCAGCTCCCTCCCGCAGCGGAGGACGCAACAACGCGACGCGGTTGCAGGCGTCTCCCCCGAGGATTTTGCTTGCGAAGCCCACGAGAGCTTTATCCAGGTGCCTATCCTGGGTCGGCGTCATGGCGATCGCGGTCAATCTCGAGAGTTGCGCGCCCTGGATTGCGGCCTCGGTGACGGCGTGCGTAAACCTCCAGACTCGATTTCGCGGCCGGAACTTCCCCATCGAGTAGCGGCCCCTGCGACGCGCCAGGATCTTCCCCCGACGCTCCTCCTGGGCCCCCCCTTTTCGCCGCCGTCGCGACGCCCGAGGGCGCGCTGTCAAAGACCACCTTGCCTGCTACGGGGGCGCCGCCTGTGAACGTGGCCAACGAGTGCCACTCGGGGCCCGCGCCCACCAAATATGGGGAAACCTGGTCGCTGGCGCCCCGGGTCGAGAGGGCGCTGCGCGTTGGGCGCCGACGACGCCGCGTGCGTAAGGCTAGTGTCATCAGCGTGCACTCTACATGACAGCGCAAGTGGACGATGAAGAAATGGTGCCCACGCCGCGCAGATATCTTCAGACGGCCACGCGTAATCATCAGCACGAGCGGGGGGACATGGAGGAGCAAGAGGTTGAGATATCCATTCCTGGTATATAGTGGGACGAGGAGGAAGAGTCTCACTGGAGTCTAAGCATGTCTGAATTGGTCTGCGTAAAGTGCGTGCGAAAAAGATTGCTGCGGGGGTATCCCCCATAAGCGTTCCGCATGTGTTCCGGAGCACTTGTTCTCCGTCTGACGCTGGAATGGTAAAAGTATTGAAATCATGACGTTGCGTGGAATACATTTGGGAGTCCTCGTTGATCGACTCCTCAACCGCGCGCAGTAGGGCGTCGAAGGAAGTGCACCCGAACGCATGGGGCACTTCTTCCTTGGAGGCCACCACGGAGATCCCAAGACATATGAGCATCCAGTGGCGAGCTTTTTGACATGAGAGCCCCCTGGCGATTCTTCCCAGGTGAGTGCCCATGCTCCCTGTCGGGGGCCCCATCAGGGGCCCCCTCCTCGAGTTGCGCTCTGTGCCACAAGACGCTAAGACGACGGAGCCCACGCGTATAGCGCCGCGCGCTAAACTTCAGTTTCCCATTCATTTTGTTGAGACCCGTGGCTCGGGAATCATGCCGGACCAGTGGGGTCCGTCGGGCCCTCCTAATGCGGCGGAAGATCTGCCGGGGCCCTCGCAGGGCGCCCTCGTTGGAGCACCCCCCCCTCGGGGACCGCGCCTAGACCGCGCCTATCGCGCCCGAGACGCTGCCGTGGAACAGGGGGGGCTCGCTGCGGCCGCCGGGGGCCAGTTGGCGCGTCGTCGTCGTTCTTGGTGCCTTTCGGGCGCCTGTGGGCGCCATCGAACCTGCGCAATGGATCGAGCGCCGTCGTGGGCACCTCCGAAGGGGCGCTGCGCAGTGGGGCTGCTTTGCGCTGTGGGGCCCGCTCCAGAAGACTGGTAACTCTCGCGATGTCCTCGCGCCCCTGCTCGGTGGCCTTGAAATTGTCAGCGCCGAACATGGGGGGCTCGGGTAGATCGCGTAGCTGGTCAGCCTGGAAGCTAGCATAGCTGTCGACAGGAAGTGTTTGAAATCCGCCAGCTGGCCCGCCCCGGGCAAACTACCCTCGAACTTCACCTGGCCTCGGAGCGAGCTCTGTCGCCGCATTAAATCTGCGCTTGCGTGGTCCCTGACATTGCCCAGCCAGTGAATGAGCTAGCCTCCGGACTTCAGCATGGCGCTGTCCTTTCCAAGCATCCTGGATTGCTAGAACGAATTGCTCCGAGACAGATTCGAATCTGGAACGACGAAGAGAGCGTAGCTGCCCAGTGTAACGCGCCAGAGCTGGTGTCGTCGCCATGTCGTCTTCGCCAATGCTGCGCTGGTGCCGTCGAGTCGCCGTGCTTGGGCATGCAGCTTGGCCTGCGGGTCGGCCGTCGCAGCTTCGCGGAAGTGACGTTCGGCGACCTCACAGACACGTGTGACCCACCTCTGCCATGCAGCACCGGGCGCCGTCCCGTGCAGCGGCATCTCGTGCCAATGAGGCTGGCTCGCGAAGATAGCTTCGGGCTCGCGCGTGAAGCTCGCGACGCCCGTGCCGTGCCGCAGGGCCTGCGCCAGGGCATCATAGTCCCGGCGCGCCCCAGCTGGACGAGACCACGACATGTCGAAGCTGCGTGCTGTCTGCAGGAGTATCGGCACATGGTCCTGAAGGCCTCTGCTGGCCACCAGCTTCAACCGAAGAGCCGCGCGTCGTAGCCCCCGACATGCAGATGCAAGAGAGCGGTGCAATTGAAAAAGCCGCCACTCAGTCAGTCGCGCCAGAACTCACATGTCCAAATAATGTATCCCCGACGCAGTAATCCATCGATGTTATACCATTGCCACGCTTCTCGCACAGCTCTTGAACCCGATCGCCTGCATAGTGGTGTTCACCTCGCCCATCAACTCCGAGAGAAGCCGACTCGATCTCTTCACAAGTGTTGTCTCTTTTTGCCCTCCGACGACGCCCAAGAGAATCATTCAGATCGAAACCCCAGAACAGCGTGGACCGCGCTCTTGCCCAAGGGAAACATTCCCAAGCCACGTGCACATACAGTCAACGGCGTCACGATACTTAGGAAAAGGACTGTCCTCGGACTCCCGCCCTTCCCGTCGTTGAGGCGGCTTCGGCGGAAAATATGTACGTGGGACCAAATGCGATGAAGAGCCGCCCGTCCTTGCAGTTGACGTGGAACGGGAGGAGAGTCGACCACGTGACGCTCACGAAACTTCTGACGCCTTAGAAGGAGAGCCATGCCGCAAGCCTTGGTCGCGTACTTGCCCGCGACGTACCCATGATGTACGGCGAAACGGGTGTGGTAGCTGACTGACTGTACATGCATGTTCACCGGCTCGCTCGCCAGTCTCTGAAAGCGCGATAATGTCAACACTTGAATTTCTCCGAGATATCACTAAGCCGCGACTCGTCCGCCGCCATGCAGTTCCAGTGAACAGACGTGATGCGATCAATCCCTCCAAAGCGTGCAGAGCTCGTCATGCGCAGCAAACAAGAGGAGAATAACAACACACAAACGCTCACCCTCATCCGCGGGAAGAGAAGAAACACATGGCGGCGAGTCTGCCATGGGGCCGCAGCCCTGCGCGAGGTGCAATATCAGAGATGCTGGGGATCCTACCCCAGTGGTCACCTGAGCGCGCGGGGGGTTAGGCCGAGGAGGAGGAGGAGGAGGAAGAGGAGGAAGAGCAGGAGGAGGAGGAGGAGGAGGAGGAGGAGGAGGCTCGGCAATGCGGTCTCTGGCACATTCCGCTTTGCATTAGGATCTTTCGTTGCAAGTTTGGGCATGTTCCCCGAGGGAGTGACGAATGGAGGAGGGATGGGAGGAAAGGAGAGGGATGGAGGGAGGGATGGAAAGAGATAGTGAAATGGACAGACGGATTGAAGGATAGCGCAATGAACTCGTCGGATTTCGGCGTATCAGTGGCTTCAACGAGAGTGGTTGCACGCAAGGTCGAGTTGAAGGTGAACAAGCTCACCTCTGTCAAGACGCAGTTGCCGTATCGGTGTCCTGAAGAGAATGGGCGGGCGATTGAGATTTTCTGACAGCTCCATTCGTTCTTGCTCAGTCCATGTATGACCTCACCCCTTGTGGCTTCTGCCCTGAGCGCCGATGTGCCTCTGATGATGTGTGCGCGAACGCCAGTAGCACAGCGGTGATCGATGTGGAACGCGTACGCGCAGCCTCGTTATGTTCCCGTTCTTTCATCGAGCATGCGTGTCATGGGCCCGGAAAGTTTGCTGCAACTAGGGCGCTGCCGCAGGTATTACACGTTGCCGTATTGCGAGCCCGCGGGTGGCATCAAGGATCCGCTCGGGGTGTTTCCGCCAGACGGAAGAGGGCGAGGAAGTAAGAGGAGGTGGGCTGCGGGCTCGGCGGCGGAACGTACGTGTTGCCATTGTTTGCCGCGCAGTGATAGTTAAAAACGATTTCCATTGTACAAGGGTAAGGAAGACTTAATCGAAGCGCTCTGTCGAATCGAGTGCTGAGTGCCAGGGCTGGGGCTGAGGTCCAGGGCTGAGGGTTGGTGCTATAGGGCGGAGGGCTCAGGCTAGGGCTGAGGGAATTCATGATGGCGCCTCGGAAAATCAAGTTCGGGTGCAACCTCGGCAAGGTGCCCTCTGCGACCTGATGTTTTCATGTGCAATTTTGGTCGTGCCTTTGAAGGATGTTGTTTGGGATGCACTTCTTAGCGCTTCGCGTATCTCTGACAGCCTATCCAGACACGATGCCCAGCGGAGCTGCCCTGAACACTTAGAGATCTTTTGAGGCGTCCTGGAGCCTCGTGCCGGCTCTTGGGAGGCCTCTTGGAGCGTCGTGGATGCTCGGGGGCCTCTTGTGGGCATTTTCGAGGTCTCCTGAGACCTCTTAGGCGTCTGATGAGGCCTTTTGTGAGCCTGTTGGGGCCCTCTTGGGGCTCGTCTCAGGCTGTCTTGGGGCTACCTTGAAGGCTGTCGATCTAACGGGGGGGCGCCGATGAACCCCGCCCACCCAGGATGCTAAAATGAGCTCAACAACCTATGAAGACATGAATTGGTTTGGACACTTGCGCGAACCCCGCGAGTTGCGCCGAGCGTGCCAGGGCACCCCCATCACCCCTGTCAAATTTGCAGTGCTGAATGGTTGCGGGTCGCCCACACTTGGTCGAATATTTTGCTGCAACGTGCTATTTGCATGTGTTCTTGAGAGGGATGGTGGGCCTGGGCGCGTGGGACAATGTGATGCCGCCCCCGCCGTCCCAGTCACACACCGATGTAAAGTAATCGCGGGGCGCCCGAACATGATGCAGATTTTGACGCAAAGCGCAGTCCATTTTTTTGTGAGGCGTGGTGGGGGGGCCCTGTTCCTATTTTGTCGCAGGTCTGGTAGGGCAGGGGTTGCTTATGAATAAGGAGCAGAGGTGACCCCCCCAAGGGGGAGAAGGGGGGATAGAAGAGGACACGCGTTAAACAACCTCAGCCCAGGGGACTGGTGGGATTCTTGCGACCGATGTATGATACGGTATGCTGGAGTACAGTTTCAGGACATGCCGGTCCTGACAATTTCCACGAGCGTTCAGGAGCCAAATTTTTAAATTTTTCTGGGGTAGTGGGAATCGGTTTCCAACATTGTTCAGGGCCCGCAAACGGTGTGGAGACCACGCCGCGCGGTGAGTCAGTGGGGATTCGAGGTGACCGCGCGATTTTGGGTTTTGGTCCTTTCTCCGAGGAGTCGGGCCGCTTTGGCCTCCAAGGTCCCCAGCACGTGCGGTGACGGACAGTGTGATGAGGTCTCTGGGGGGGTTCGGGGTTACCGCACGCTCTGTCAGCGCACGATTTGGGGGCCCCCCAAAGTTTCCTCTCAGTCCCTGGGGGTCAGCGGGGAGCGCCGCCACGCAGACTCAACCAGACCTCGCCCTCCCTGGGTGCTGCCAGACGCGAAGGTGTCGCTGGTTTTCTGCGCCCTCGTCCCTCCTGATCCTTCCCTTGTTCCCCTCCTCTTCCTCCTGTGTGCCGCGAGTTCGGTTCCCAAGGGTGGCGCTTTCACCCACCAGTGTATGCTACAGCACCGTCCTCCTCCTCCTCCTCCTCCTCCTCCTCCTCCTCCTCCTCATCATCATCATCATCATCATCAGCCGTAGCCATTTTGGCTCAAGTCGGCTCGGCACGCTCGTATGATATTCCAATTTTGTTATGTTCCTCTTACTGTTTTCCCCGAGATTCCAATTTTGCTTGATTGATTCCCCTTCCAGTATGTCCGGCTCATGGCTGCCGCTGGAGCCGGCTCTCTGATCATTGACGCTCACGGCCAGGCGCTGCGCCTCGTCGCCAGGTGCAGTGGGCGCCACTTTTAAGGTCTTGGACGTGCTGGCCGCGTGCTTCGGTTGCTTCCCCTCGGGAGCGCCGACGCCTCCAGCACCTGGACATCGCCTTTGCCCTCCTCCGACGCATCACCGAACCCTTCGTGAGGGACTTCCTGGAGGGCCTGGAGACAGAGCTGACCGACAAGTACGGCATGGCGACCGGTGTGGTGCAGCATGCCAGTCCTCCAGTGCACCCCATCCCCGCGGGTGCCCAGCTTTTCGACATCTTCGGCACGAAGGCGGATGCCTCCAGCCAGACGCCGCTCAATCTCTACCACTGGACCGTGATCGATGCTGCTCCTTCACAGTGTGATCTTCAGGAGCCTGGTGACCTGCAAGCTGGTCTTGATCTTCATCGTCATGGGGCTGCTGGCAATCTTCATCTTCAAGACGGTGCTGATGCTCTTCTTCTTCATGAGGGTGCTGATCGCAGTGACGTGCCTTGTCAGGCGGATCCTGCTGCTCTTCTTCTGGATCGCGCGGTTCCTTCTCTTCCCGGGGGTGCTGGGGATCTTCTTCTTCAAGAGGGTGTTGTCAGTCTTCCTCTTCCAGTGGGTGCCGATGCTGTTCATCGTCAAAAGGGTGCTGATGATCTTTATCTTCAAGAGGGTGCTGATGATCTTCTTTTTCAAGAGGGTACTGATGCTCACCTTTCTCATGGGGGTGCTGGTGATATTCGTCTGCAAGTGGGTACTGGTGATTTTCAGAAAGGTGCTGATCTTCAGGAGGGTGATGACGATATTCCGGGTGCTGCTGGTTTTCCCGAAGTTGCTGAGTTACCAGATGGAGTTGATCGTGCAGAGCCTGCTGCTCTTCTTCTGGGGCATGGGGTTCCTGGCAGTGCCGTTCCTTACCGCGCTCTTCATGAAGCCGCTGGCCTTCCGGAGGGTGTTTCTAGGCTTCTTGAGGGTGCTGATGTTCCCGTGGTTCTTCAGGGGAGTGCCGTGGACCCTCATGGCGCAGCTGCTCTTCGAGGGGTTGCTGATCTTCAGGGTGGTGCTGAACTCCTACAGGGAGCTGATGATCTTCAAGGGGGTGCTGACGATCTTCACGAGGGTGCCGATCTTCAGGGGAATGCTGATCTTCACGAGGGTGCTGGTCTTCACGCGGGTGATCTTCACGAGGGTGCTGATCTTCACGAGGGTGTTGGTGCTCTCCAAGTGGGTGCTGATGATCTTCACGAGGGTGCTGATCTTCACGGGGGTGCTGATCTTCTCGAGGGTGATGATCTTCAGGAGGGCGCTGATGCTCTTCACGAGGGAGCTGCTGATCTTCCAAAAGATGTTCGTGCCGCGCTTCTGCCTGATGAAGTGCTTGCCGAGCCTCTTCACAACGTCTCTATTGGCGGTGCGTGCTCTTCCGGCCTCTCTGAGATCCCAGCGTTTTCCAGGCTTGCTTCGGGACCGACGATCTCGCAGACCATTGATGGCGATCCAGCCGAACTGATTTCTCAGGCGGTCTCCACGAATCATGAACTCTTTCGCATGTTGCTCAAGTTCAAAGAGCAGCTGGCCCTCGCTGCTGATCAAGTCTCCTGCTTTGAGGCTGCTGTGGCCTCGGCGAGTGGCAACGCAACGCAATGCTTCGTCGCAAAAGCCTCGTGGCCTTGAGGGGGGCCCGCAAGATGTGCGATGTTGCAGGGGCGAACTTGCACTGCGCAGCCTCACTGCTGGAATGCGCGAAGATTCCGAAGTTGAGTGTCGGAGCTGAGGATAAACAAATCATCATCACCATCATCATCATCATCATCATTATCATCATCATCATCATCTGAACGCGCCCCCGCCGTCCCTCGGCTCCAGTCAGAGAGCAGAGCACATGCCATGGCGGCGCCGTGCGGGGGAGTGGAGTCTCAGGCCCTCAGGAGCAGAGCGTGCTTCAGCGGAGGCCGCAGGCGAGTGCAGTGAGGAGCGGATCCACATGACACTGGGCGCCCACGACAGCGATGAAAGACAAGGGCGCGCAGATCTTCATGGCCCCCATCGCCGCGAGCTCGACGAAGAACCTGAAGGTGTTCAGGGGCTGTGCGAGCGAGCCCTGGGAGACCAACTACGAGCGCATCATGGGCTGCACGGTACTCATCAACAACGTATCCGAGTACGCCCAGAAGCCGCTCGCGAAGTTCTGCCCCCGCGCGTTCTCGCCATTACGCTCGACGGCAACGGCTCCATGAAACAGGAGAGCTTCGACAGCAACCAGAAGTTCGCCCTGAACCTGGCTAGCAAGTACCAGAGCGCACACTACGGCGTGGAAGAAATGCACATCGGACTTACGCTGTTCGGGATCGGCGAGCACGTTCATCGCCGCGAATTCGACGAAGAGACTGACGGTGCCCCGGGACTGGGCAGGCGAGCGCTGGGAGACCAACTACGAGCGCATCATGGGATACACGGCATTACGCTCGACGGCAACGGCTCCGTGAAGCAGGATGATTTCGACATCATCCAGAAGTTCGCCACGGTCTACAAGACCCTGTCCGTTGATAGGAAGGATCACATGGCCGTGAAGCACTTCAACGCGGAGAGCCCCCCCAAGCACGTGCGGCGTGATGCCCGAGCTTGGTTTTTCTGTTCATGACGGATCCCATGACTTGACTGGCGTGCCAGAAGGTGTTATCCCTCTCTACGTCCCTCCCGTGCCATCTGCCTGTGCCCCTGGCGCGCCGTGTGTGCAATTCGGACTTTTTATCCGTAAGGGCTTCGCCCCCTGCCGCCGGCCCCCTCTCTCGGATAATGGGCCATGGAAGAGCTAAGTCATGAGGCTTTGGCGCTGTCGTGCAGCAGTATCGGAACTTCATGCGAGGCCGATTCGCAATCGGCAAAACCAACTGATCACAAGAGGGGTTACCACACAGGGCGATTGGTAAGACGTGTATGGTTTACGAGCTTGGTTACCACACCTTAGGATTAAAGGGCCGAGGGAGTACTCGCAGTTTGGGTTACCACGCCTTGCGATTGGAGGGGTGGCACCGAATTTCAGAAATGTGGCAAATCCCTTGTGTTTTTGGACCCTGACCCCGCGGATCTGCGAGAGGGGTGGCACCGAATTTCAGAAATGTGGCAAATCCCATGTGTTTTTGGACCCTGACCCCGCGGATCTGCGTGAGGGGTGGCACCGAATTTCAGAGATGTAGCAAATCCCTTGTGTTTTTGTACCCTGACCCCGCGGATCTGCGTGAGGGGTGGCGCCGAATTTCAGAAATGTAGCAAATCCCTTGTGTTTTTGGACCCTGGCCCCGCGGATCTGCGTGAGGGGTGGCGCCGAATTTAAGAAATGTAGCACATCCCATGTTTTTTTGTCCCCTGACCCCGCGGATCTGCATGAAGGGTGGCCCAAAATTTCAGAAATGTGGCAAATCCCCTGTGTTTTTGGACCCTGACCTCGCGGATTTAGTGTGAGGGGTGGCGCCGAATTTCAGAGATGTGGCAAATCGCTTATGTTTTTGGACCCTGACCCCGCGGATCTGCGTGAGGGGTGGCACCGGATTTCAGAAATGTGGCAAATCCCATGTGTTTTTGTACCCTGACCCCGCGGATCTGCGTGAGGGGTGGCACCGAATTTCAAAAATGAGTCAAATCCCTTGTGTTTTTGTACCCTGACCCCGCGGATCTGCGTGAGGGGTGGCACCGAATTTCAGAAATGTAGCAAATCCCTTGTGTTTTTGGACCCTGGCCCCGCGGATCTGCGTGAGTGGTGTCGATGTCGAGGCCCCCCAGCAATTAAGACAACGCGCCCAGGGGGTGCTAAAAAATCCGTTTGGGCCTCCCCCCCCTCGCGCGGCCAATCAACTAGTTACAATAACCAGCAAGAAGCAGAGTTGTAACACTGGAAACTACAAGCTACAACTGGTACAGGAAACTGCGAATCACGGTCCTGCAGCCTGGTGGCCCCACAAGGGGCCCGGCGGATTTCTTTTACCACCGCCCCTCTCCGCTAACTTATGGAGCGCCAGCATCCTCTGTCACCTCGCTCGTGTTTGCCTCGTATGCATCGCTGTTGCAGCACCCTGCAGACACCACGCGCCCCCCGCGCGGCCACCGAGAGTCCCGCTTTCTGCGACGAGCCGTACATAATTTCTAATCCGAGATTAACGCTCATGTCCACTATTGGCCTTCATGTCGTTGGACAATCATCATCATCATCACCATCATCATCATCATCATCATCATCCGTAGCCATTTTGGCTCAAGGCCACAGCGGGATTCGGTCCTCCGAGCTTCTGCTGCGCTACGTGCTGGTTGCAATTCCCATGCTCACATCAGTGATTTCGGCATGAGTCGTGGTTTTTCCGTGAACCTTCTCTTTGGTGCTTTACGCAAGGCGGGTAAGCATGCCAAACTCAACGCGCACAACTCCCAGGCATTTGCTGGTGCGGGTTTCGCGCTTCACTTGCTTAAAGCCGAGCTTGTTGTGGGCATCCCTCAGGCGACTGGCGATTCTGACTACAACGCTCGTGTTCTATCACTGGAACAAGTGGTACTGCTTCAACGGCATCTCGAGGTACATTCTGCGGTTTTCCACACGCACTCGTAACCTCAATGATTGTGTGCTACTCGCTGCGGAGCCTGGCAGGTTTGATGCGCAAGCCGTGGCTTCCATGTCGGCGATCTGTTCACGTGGGAATTCTGCTCGCCACCGGCGGTGGCGCCAAGGACTGTATCGCAAGAAGCTTCGACTAAATAAGGAGGCCTCTGAGTTTTACCCGTCAGCACAGGTTAATGTTTGCCAAACGGACCTTCTGTTGCAGGAGCTTGCTGGTGCTTCGGGTGCTCTTCATGATCCTCCTGGTGTTCGTGCCGTCGGTTCACCTGAGCCTGGTCTTCCTGGTGGTCCTCCTGATTCTCTCCATGGACACCCCGATCCTCCTGGTGTTCTACATGACTCATCATCGTCTCCCTGGTTTTCGTGCCGATCAATTTCCTGAGCCTGATCGTTCCGTTCCGGGGCCTGGTCTTCTGGAGCCTCATGTGGGTCGTGCTGATCCTCCTCCTGCTGTTTCTGATTCTCTTCTCGATATTCCTGGTGTTCGTGCCGAGGCTCCTCCAGGGCCTGTTCGTTCGGTTCTCGAGCCTGTTCTCTGGGAGCCAGGCCATCATTATCCTCCTGGTGTTCGTGCCGTCGGTTCTCCAGAGCCTGATCTTCCTCGTGGTCTTCCTGATTCTCTTCGTGAGCTTCCAGATCTTCCTGGTGTTCTTCCTGATTTTCTTCGTCGTCTCCCTGGTTCTCGTGCCGATCCATTTCCAGAGCCTGATCGTACAGGTCCTGAGCCTGGTCTTCTGGAGCTTCATGTGGGTCGTGCTGATCCTCCTCATGCTGGTCTTCCTGATTCTCTCCTCGGCCTTCCTGGTGTTCGTGCCGAAGTTCTTCCAGAGCCTGATCGTTTCGTTCTCGAGCCTGTTCTTTGGGGGCCAGGCCATCGTGTGGGACCTGGCGAGCCTGGGGAAGTCGTTCAAGATTCTGGTATGGACCTCAATGACCTTCAGCGTATGCTTGACTCGATGTTTGAGAAGCTCGGCGAGAGGATCGATCGTGTGCTTCTTCTTCCTGAAGATTGTGGGCCTCAATCTGTCCAGCATCCTGAAGGCCTTCGCGCTGGCTCTTCGGCCTCTTCTGTTCCCGCAGATTCTCTTATCCGACCTGGGCGTACTGCTTCGATCTCCGAGTTGGAACGTTGTCGGAAGCTTCTGCGCGATGGTGGAAATTACCGATGGCGAGGTCCTCTTCCTGACAGTGCTGAACCTCGCCGATCCCGACCCCTCGACCACGGAGTAAACAGATGGTTAAACGAATGGGACTGACTGGCATTCTCTTGAGGGTCGACTTTCCCGCAGGCGTTATGGTTGGGCTGCTCTTGGTGTGGAACATGGTGTGGTGGCTTATCCCGGTCTGTTCTTCGGTTTCGGTGTGCCCCTCTACTTCATAGGTGCCAATGGCATCTTCAACGCGGCGGGATTGGCCCACCCTATACGGGCCCACGGCGAACTCTGGTGCGATGAACCCTGGAGGAGTAACAAAATCATCATCATCACCATCATCATCATCACCATCATCATCATCATCATCATCGTCATCATCATCATCATCATCCCCCCTCGTCCTCCTATCCCTCTTCCTCCTACCCTCCTTCTCACGGACCTCGTCCTCATCCCTCTCAACTTTCCTCTCCTTTCTCCTCCTCCTGCTCCTCCTCCTCCGTCGTCGTCGTCGTCGTCCTCTTCCCTTTTCCCTTTCCCATCCTCATGTATTTTGGTATTGCCAATCGCCTTGTATGGGTAGTGCGTCCTTGGGTACATGTGTGACGACCCCTTCTCATCCTGTCAGGAGAGCCAGGAGAACCTTGGCGAGACGCTGACAGGGGACCAGATTGAGCGACTCCGCCTGCCAAGGTTTATGCGACTAAACGACCAAGAAATGCCAGCGGGGGGGGTCGCAGCGCCCCAGCAGTCGTCGTTGTCGAGGCCGCTGGGTCGCCGCCAGCGACCCCGACGAGAGGCAGCCATGGTTTGTCACATCGTTCCTGCCCGATGTGTCTCTAGTAGTTCGGTCGCATCCTGCCATTGTTGATGCCCCTCTCGGCGGGATGGGGGCGGAGTGCTTTCCGCGCGGCGGCGAGAGAGCAGGCGCGGGCGTCCAGCGGCTTGGGGCCACGACGGAGGACGGATGGACGGGCAATGGGCGTCGGAGGGCTCGACGGCCAGCAGGGCTTCAGTGACGAAGCGGTGTTGGGATGCTGAGTACTTCGAAGGGAGAAAAGGTACCCATATCGCTATCATTCCCTCGTTTTCCCCTTTTTGGGCCTCCTGGGAGGCCTTCGTTGCCACCGCTAGATTCGCATCGAAATCCTGGTCAGAACGCACCCCGGTATTGGGACCTTTTGGCATCCCCAGTATTGGGTGGGGGGCAGGGCCGCGATGGGGGGTAGGGTTGAACATAGATGTGTTGGTCCACGCGAGAGAGCGGTGCATGCGGTCATTGAGCTTGGCGATGCGTCTGTGTTGGCACCTGGGGTTTGCCACACCTTCTGGAAGCCTCTCTCTTTTTATCTCTCCCTTCCTCCAGCCCTCCATTCCTCCTCCCTCTTCTCATTCTCCCGTCCCTCCCACCCTTCCCTTCCCTTCCCACCCCCTTCCTCGCTCACAGTGGCCACCGGAGGGGGCGGCGGCCAGGCAGTTGAGCTGCACGCAGGGGCGGCGGGCAGGAGGAACATGGAACGAGTGGGAGGAGTGGGTCGTCGATCTTGGTCGTGATCGTGGTCGTGGTCGTGGTCAGCGTTGACGTCGTCGTCGTCGGTCTGGTCCGGTCCGGTCCGGTCCGGTCCAGTCCGGTCGGTCGGTCGGTTGGTCGGTCGTCGGTCGTCGTCGGTCGTCGTCGGTCGTCGTCGGTCGTCGTGAACGGTGCCGATATTGCTAATCTCTTGTTGTCTTCGCCCTTGGCTGGATTCGCCATGGATTCTTGGTCAGAGCGTGCCCCAGGGGAGGGCCAGGGGCCGATTGGGATGGCCTTACGGCCGGTGCCGCCGATCCTGAAGACGACGAAGATGAAAACGAGGGTGAGGAGGAGCAGGAGGAGGAGGAGGAGGAGGAGGAGGTAGAGGATGATAACGAGGAAGT